TAAACATACCATTTATGATCCCTTTCAGAATGAAACTTGTGATCAGATACTCCATAAAGACTGATAACAATTCAAATCACACATATCTTTGCTGGCTCTATATGCGTTACAAATAACACAAGTGCACCAGCAGCATTTCAACTCTACTTTACTTGAATGTAATAGAAGTCATTGTCTCCCACTGCATTTTGTTATGCACTCCTCTGTTGTTTTGGAATTCAACACAACAGTTCCTTTCACAACTACAGATCCCACATGAAAGACACCAGTTTAACACAAGCTGTTTGCTTATTCCAACCAATATTTTCCATAGATTCACAACATAAAATCATCAAAAAATGCATTTTATACGTTGTATGCATATGCTAATGAAGTCTGTTTCCCAATCCTAGTGTCTATCGTGCTGGTTGAATTGCAACATACTTCTTAATTCAAATGTTATTCACATTAGTTGTTTATGAAACCTTAAGTCTAATTGTGTATAACACTCACACTAGTGAAACATAATGTTGTTTTTCTTTTTTATAGGTAGTAGGTGGGATTCTACATCAAAATAAGACTTATAATAATTTAATTTCAATCTTATGTTATTTACTGGTTCAATAGGAGTTAAGTAGCTTATAAACAATACTGCTACTGGTGAGAACTTTCACTCAATGTCACAGCTAAATACCTAGCTCAAAATAATAAAAAATTAGCTAGATTTTTTCATATTATAAAAATAATTTGATATTTAAAAAGTTCTTGAAGTACTGTATGTTTTTAAAACATGCTAGAAAGAGACATGTCTAAATCTATATAACTTGAAATATGAAACAAGATTCAGGTACTGGTAATTTATGAATTACATATAAAAAAAGTTGTTTTAGATCTTAATATATTTTATACATTATGTATGTAAAAAAATAAACTCACCAAACAATATATGTACTAATGCAGGAGGTACTGTTCGAGGACAGCCTGTAAGAAAAAAATATTGTCAATACTATTTCGTTCCTTGATCAATATACTACATGTAGTTAGTATAAAACATTCAGGTTATTCATCATGGATGCCATGCCAGAAACATCTTTCTCTTTTGAGTAAATACAAATTTAAATATTAGTGCACATCTGACAACACCATCTAATATTAATGGTGAACAAATACAACTTTGCCAAAATACCTTATTATTCACAATTATTTTAGATCAGTTCGACAAAGACACTTACCAGAAAAAAACCAATCATCATAACAAAAAGTTGATAACAGATATTGATATCCTGGAGCTAAAATGGACAGCATTAGCTTAACATATCTGAAAAAAAATTATATAAGATAATCATTTCCTGAAGATCAAATGCACAGTATGAACTTTACAATCTCAAAAAAAAAAATAATATATATATATATATGAATATGAATAAAAATTCTACAAAAGATGGATACTTTAGGGCTTAAAATACACAATAAGAGCTTTATGATTCAATACATATGTAATGACAGTTTTAAAAACTTCAGTTACCTGCAACAGTTTCGCATGACAGAAGTTCAGCAACCAAACATATCAATAAGAATGATGTAATTGAAATTATGATCAAAATTTGTTGTAATTTATCACAACATGTTACCTGTAATTAATCACTTTTAATCAATTTTTTTGTTTGTTTAAATGTGTTCATTGCTAAACTTGAAAAGCTCTGAGTATCGACTGCAATCTCTAAATCTACCAAACTTCTGATCACAGTTTCTTACTTTTTCCTATCACCTTTTTCTATGGCTACTAAAGCTCCTCTGTCCCACACCACATCCATTAGACCAGCACAATCTCTAAATATAAAATATATACACTCAATTCTCATTGTGTCAAACAGTTAACTAACATAAATTCTATAAAAACAACTGCTATGTTTTAACCTCTATACCATTTTCAAAAATATAAGAATTTGTTTCTTACAGCCAAGATATTACATCAAGTAAATTATTCAAATATACATATAATTATGATTTTGGCATATTACATTTGATGAATAAATAAACTGTTTATTTTTCAACATTTTCTCTGAAAAACATAAATTTCTAATGAATCAATGTAAAAAAGTAAAAACTTTTAGCTTATGTGTAAGCTTTACTGTATTAAGAAATAACACCTTAATGTAAATGAAGAGAACTTTTAATACGTTTCCTTTCAAGAAAAGTTAATTTATTATGCAGTCTTACTTGTCAAACTTCAGAAAATCACAGCAAAAAATCTTCAAATGTTCATCAGCTGTCTAAAAACATATTGCAACTTGAATTGTGTACTTTTGTTAAATAAAATTCACAAAGTAATATAAAATCTTTTAAGTTAGAAGAGCAAATGTTCATAAATGTTTATTATTAGATGTTCCTTTTATTTAGCTAAGTAGCACTGATTCATTTTGCTTGGAAATGTTTGACTTCCTGTGCATACAAAAATAAATCACAAATATATGGAGCTTCAAGATTATTACAAAGTCATACTATCAAGTTAACATTCCCTGTTGCTTTCATAATTGACAATATTATCATCTGAACATTATAACAACAATGACATCGGTATTATTCTTTCTTTTTTTGACACTGAATAGATTTTTTTCCAATTTCCGCAAGCCATATATCATGTACATGAAAACTTGGACTGGCAATAATTGAAGAGAAAAAATTAATTAAACTTTGTAAAATAACTTACAATACTATTGTAGATACAATACAAATATACAAAATACTTAAAAACCTCTAGAGAAAAACTTAAAATTACAAAAAACTTTTGCCTCTTCACTTTCACATGTGCTTATTAAAAGCTGTATGTCATTTAGAAATACAAATGCAAGTTTTTTAATACAGACACATGTAAATCACATTTTGATGTTTAAAAAACAAAATTTCAAAGTATCTCAGGCTTTAGTGGCTTAAAAGTAATTTGTTTATAATAAATCAATGCAGTGCTGATGCCCTCATTTTAAAAATGGTTTACATAAAATAAGTAGTAATGACACTGAATCTTTTATGAACTGCATCTACATGAAATCTAAAGTTAGACATCATAATCTTTGTTCTGAGGCCTTCAGCACAGGAACCAAACACTGGCCATTCTGGGGCTGGCAAATACAATCCACAGAAGATTTAACATCAAATGTGGCCTTATTCCTAAGTAAGATTTACAGCTGAACTGTATTACAACCTTTCAATTGATTTAGACTAAATAAAAGTTGTATGCTAATTCTGAAAATAGTACATTCAGTTACCCAATTAGCAAATAACTACTAAAACTTATCCTCAATCTATATATTTTTAAAATATCATATGATTTTCTTTTCTAGCTACTTTATGTTAACTTGATTTTTACCAAATACTTTAAAATTCTTTATAATTCAGCATTTGTCTAAAGAATTATTTCTCTTTAAAAAAGTTTTAGGCAGTGTAGGCTGGACTGGATTTAGATTTAAAGTTATTAATTGATAATAAAAAAACTGGAACTCCTAAGCCACTTTCACTCTCCACAAACACCACAACCACAATAATGACAACTCACATCAAACATGACAAAACAGAGCTCACTAGAGGTCCGGTACAAACCTTTGATCAATTACATGTAAAAAACAAACAGAATAGCTTCCTCAGTATCCTGATTCAGGCTTCAGTACTGAGAAAGAAACCACCCACTTACACTTAGGCAGATGAAATCCACAAAAACTACAAATCCAAGCTATTTCATTATATTGAAAAAATGTAATAAATATTCAAATAGATACGTTAGATTGAAATTTCATACCAAGTTTTAATTTCATCTGCTTTGATAGTGAAGAATAAACCTTACTTTATTGATTAATACTCATTATTTTATCATTTTATCCAACACATTACTGAATAATAAGCAAAGTTAAAGCTAAAAATATAAATATGAAAACCAAGATTGAATACTGTGTCACATAGATGTTAGGCTTCAGCTTAACATTTTTAAAGGATACTAAATATTGATCATCATATAGCATGTGTCACATAGACAACTTAAGCTTGAGCTTAAAATTTTTTGGGGGGATACTAAATATGATTTATCCTATAGCATAAGCCTAATTTGTCATTTATGTGGTAATTCAATCTTTGAAAACGTACTATATAAAGCTTGTTGGTAAACAGAAACTTTTATAGCCTTGGTTAATTTCAAAATATGACAGCAAATAATGTTATTTATGTTTTTGACTGTACTTAAAGACACTGATTATTTAGTATAAGGTTCAACACATGGTTGAATAACTGAATATTTTTATGCCTTATATATATACATAGATCAAACTGGATCAACTTAAAAGCCTGAAATAATATATAATCAGTGAAAAAATTATTAAATAACACTAACCTTGTAAAGATTTCCACAAATTTGCTCCACCGGCTCAACAACATACTCTAACCCTTGTTCCTGAAAGAATTCCACTACTCCTTTCTCCACATACTCAACACCCACTACTCTGTGACCATTATCATAAAACCTGAAAATGTTTAGCATCAAAATAAAATGAAGATGAAGAAATATATAAAAAATTTATTTGAAAAGTACATCATAAGTACTGAATTTTAATCAGGTTATAATGAAAGAGATTTCAGGGTGATCACTCTTACAAGTTTGATAAGTAACTCCAAAAATGTGCCTTATAAAGTGTAAGCATTTGTTTCTCTAATTTTTAGTTAATTTGGCTGCATTATTCTGATTAATCCATCTACATATGTTATACATCTAGTAAACTATAAGAAATTCAGAGCTGAGATTTTATAGTCATCAAAAACCTTACTAGTAAGAACAGATGGGCAATTTACTCAATGAATCAATATAATCAATTACCAATGAGCATTACTTGCATCAAACTGGATTAATGTCATAAATGGGGTACCTCAGAGCTCAGTTTTAGGACCTTTGCTCTTTTTTATTAACATCAATGACATAGATGAAAGAATGGTCAATAAATTACTCAGATTTGCTGATAATATTGTGGTCTTGGGCATTACTGGCTGTGAGGAGAATGCTGCTGTTTACAAAATCATTTAGGTCATTTAATGAGTTACATGAATAAATGCCAAATGGGTTTTAATTATTATAAATGCAATATAATGCATGTAGGTTATCATAATTTGAGTTATAAGTATAATTTGAATGGGAATAACTTTAACAGTAGTGTGAAAGAAAGGGATCTTTGTGCAGTGACTGACCAGTCTCTTAAGCCATCCAAGCAGTGTGCTGTTGCTAGTGGTAGGGCAAATAGGATTTTAGGTTGTATCTATAGAAATTGAATATAAGGCTAAAAAGGTTATACTTTAATTGTATAGGTCACTGGTTAGGCCACATTTGGAGTATTGTGTTCAGTCTTGGGCTCTTTACCTTATGAAGAATACTGAACTGTTGGAAATGGTTCAGACAAAGGCTACTAGAATGATGCCTGGGATGGAGGGGTTTTCATCAGTGTTCCCTCTAAGCTGCACGACATCACAACAACCAATCAGGTAGCATGAACTTCATTATTCCAGCCATACACATCCTAGTAATAGTGAGGAGTCTCAACACATTGGCAGCCTTAATGACCCTAGCAGTCGATAGGCCTAAAGCCCAAATAACCAACTGGTAGCATTGCAAAGTCGCCTAATGATTCAATAGGGTCGATGGTATATAAATCCCCCCCCCAATGGATGGACTGAAAAAATTCAAGGGAACATTGGTTGTCATACAAGGAGAGGTTAAGATGTCTGAAATTGTTTTCTCTTGAAAAAAGAAGAGTTAGATGGTATCTGAAAGTGGTGTTTAAGATTGTTAAGGGAACTGATAGTGTTGATGCATCACCTTTTTTCATACTTAATGGTGAAAATGGTAGAATTATGAGAGACAAATATAAATTTTGGCAGAGTGGGAGTCATCTTCAGCTAAGACAGTTTTATTTTTCTAAGAGGATGGTTGGCCTTTGGACAGGTTGCCTTTGGATTTTACGGAGGCAGTAAATTTAAGTATGTTTAAGAGAAACCTTGATAACTCTATGAATGACAAGGGATGGCTTTGATTTTTTTTTGTTTGTTTATTTCTTATTATTTCATTTTATTTAATTGCTAGGTCCCTTGTTGTCCCTAAACATTATGTAATGCTAATAAGAATCCCATAGAATAATCAGCTAATCAAAATTATGATTAAATTTGTTGACATCATGAAAATAATCAAATAACATAAATTAGTGTTGCTAATTATTACTTTTGTTGGATATCCCAACTATCAAACAAATCAAAATATTGCCATTATAATTTCTCATTGTTATATTTTTTTATTAATTTAAGTTTGTTCAGCTTCATGCTGGCATGGCCTGGTGATTATGGAGGGATTACTTCATGATTCAAATGTCTCAGGTTCAATTCTCATTGCTACTAGACATGCCCACCATTTCTTATTATTAATTTCAATTAAACTTATTCAGCTTAATCAATTAGTGTAATGACTCATGAAATAATCAAAATTATGGCTTTAAATTATTCTAAAAATACAAGTAATCAAAAGTTAACATTTTCCAACACTGAAAATGTTAACTTTTGATAGATACACACCTCCTGATTCAATGCTGCCATCTATATGCAAACTTTTTTGCTTGCCACTAGTCTTGAGTCTCTCACCCAATCTCATGTTTCCATGTGATATTGTTTCATTACCACGTGCAAATGAGCATATAACAACCCTCCATCAATAAGAATGTGACACCACCTCCTAGTGCAGCTGGCTCTCTCTATACTGATTGTTAAACCATCACTTCAAGATTAGAGAAGTAAAATGCACCGGAAGTGGAAAGGAAGGGTGGGAAGTGAGTATCATTTCCATTCAATGAAGTTACAATAAACAGATAAGTTGTCAGGCCCATCCAGTGAGAGTAACAGAAGAAAGATCATGAGTGAATGAAGGATTCCAAAGAATGAAGAGACAGGATTGGGAACTATGAAAGGAAGAAGTGTGGGCCAACTAGCAATGGACTGCATGAACATGACAGAGGAGGTTAGTGAGATCTGAAGGGAATAAAAAATAATGATGAAAAATGGAATGAAGAGATATAGGGGTGAACACACGTTCACCCTCATGTGCTGCAGATATTATAAGGAGAAAAGCACAGGAGCGATGAAGTAAGAGAAGGATCAAAGGAATACACACCAGGAATTTGACAACCACAGGCAAGAAAGAGGAAGGAATATGTTTTAAGGGACAGGTGGTACAAGAGAAAGGAAAGAAAGCCAAAGGCTCAGAGGGAGGTAGGGTAATGGGTTTGGAGAACAACATTAAAGTCTCAAGTCAGGTAGACTAGTAGGACATGAAAAGAATGAAAAAAGCATAGTAAGAATTGGGGATGTAATAACCAGAAAGTATCTGTAAGAGCTGTCCGGTAACCAGCAATAGTCAAGATAGACAAGCCCTGATTGAAAAGCCATGTGAGGAAGTCAGATAGATGGGGAATAGAAGGATGAGAAGGTGAGAAGAATCAAGTCAGAAACCAGCAGCAATAAATATACCACTTCCACTGATAAGAACCTAAGAAAGATAGGCAAACAAAATGAGGCAAGGATAAGGCTACACATGAAGGAACTGGACAAAATTAATGCTTGAAACCAGAGGTATGACACAGCTGGATGGAAGAGAGAAGTACGAGGCTGAAGAAGAATGGAGTGAGAGAGCGGAAGAGGAAGTCAAAAGGCTCAGCAGAGAAAATCATGAGTGAACCTGGCAATAGGGTGCTACCAGATGTATCCAACAAGAAGTGTCCTGAATAAAGGAGGAGACAATAGGGGTAAGCATAACGAAAGAAATTTGACCAGTCCCGAGTGAATGCATCCACCACCAGTGCCAATGAATCCAGAACAGAAGACCAGAATACAGAATAAAAGCTTGACATTGACATAAATGGCAAAGGCACTGATGTGAGGAGTGCCCAAGCTAGAGCAAAGCCATTAAAAAACACAAATACTAAAGGACTACTCCTTAGAATGAGATTCAGGGCACCCAACAAGCCACAAGACAGACTTGTTGAAAATGAGCCCAAAAGATATTGAGGGCTTGAAAACAGAATGAAAATGAATGCCCCCATAGCAATTTTTGTAGGATACCACTGTTGAGTTGTCTGAATGGATCATCACCAAATGGCTACATGCAGCTGGAAGAAAATGATTCATAGACCAACAAACTGTTAAGAACTCCAAAAGGTTGACATGAAGTGTTGATTCCTCTTGGTGCCATTGACCTAAAATCTTGAAAGAGTTGAGACAAGCATCCAAATCCACCATGAAAGCATCTGTAAAATGATCAGGATCAGGATGCAAGGGAGGAAGAGGTACACCCACCATAGTATTGAACTTGTTGAGCCAATAAGTGAGATCAAGGTAAATGTAAGGGATTCTAAGAGAGGTTCCATTTATCATGAAGAGTCCACTGTATAAGATACATATGAGCATGAACTAGGGGACAAAGGGTGCCACTAAGGCCAAAGTTCCTGAAAGAGGACAGGGCTGTGGAAACCAAACTCTCTATGGCCTGTAAGTGAAGCAGAAAAGTCTATGCCCTACAAAGACAGGAATGGAAGAACACGCCCAAAAAACCAGATACTGGGTGGGTGTAAGATAAGACTTTTTCAACTTGACCAGCCAACTGACAGAAGCTACCTCCCAAAGAAAAAAGAAGAGTATGGTTGGAGAGCTTCTGTCAGAATGGACCTAAAACAAGCCAATCATCCATATAATAGTGGAATCTTAATCCCAAGTCATGAATGTGATGAGCAAAAGGCATGCACTATTTGACAAATAGCTGATGCAAGTCCAAAAGGAAGAACTGAGAACTAATAAATTTGACTTTGATGTACAAACCGAAGGTACAGTCTGGATGCTGGAGAGATGTGGAAGTGAAAATAACCCTCAGAGATGTCTACTTTAGTCATCCAAAGCCTCAGAGAAAAACACAGGCGGGTAAGAAAACTATCCATGTTAAACCAAGGATGACTGAGAAACTGATTGAGATGTGAAAGATCTATGACCAGATGCCAAGCCACAGTTATCTTTGGAATGACAAACAGATGGGAATAAAATCCCTGGGAAGGGTAAGAAACCCTTTCAGTAGCATCCTTGTTCAAAAAATCTGAAAGCACCTCAGAGAGACAAGAGAGGAGGAGAGGAAAACAAAGGGTAAGACCAACTGATAGAACTTGTAGCACCCAATTGTCAGCTACAAAGGGAATTTATAGATCCACAAACCAAGACAAACATGCCCCCATTGTTCCCGAGCCTAGAAAACAGTCACCAACAAGGCTATTGCCACTGAAATCTACAGACAGTGGAGAAATGGACGAGAGAAGAGGAATGAGATGGAAGAACAGGGAGTAGAAAGGAGGTGGATCAATGGGATACTGCAACTTAAAAAAAAAAGTAGTTTCAGAAAGATGGGACACAAGGGTAGTCAACAAAAAAATAGTGGCATATGGCCTCAGCCCAT